GAATATTCTTTATTGTACACCATAATAATAAAAACATAGGAAACATAAACACAAAATATAGTACAATTGGCGGTCTTATCGCTTAAAAGCAATTTCTTCCAGACAACCTTTGGATGGAGTTTAACTGTAGAAGAATTTGATACGGGCAGTTTACGGCGTACATATACATTATAATAGTTTAAGGATATATATATAATAAATAAACAAATAAGAAATTAAATATATATATATAAATAAATCATAACAATAGATATAGCGATGATGGATATGTTACTGAGCCATGTAGTGATCGTTCACCATTTTCTTAAAAACTGCTAGCGACTGCGCACGTCTAATCGTCACTGGCAAAGCATTCCATAGACGCGTGGCCTGTACAGCAAACGACTTATCATAAAAAGACGTGGAGTGTACTGGCATCTTCAGTTTCAGGTTTTCCGATGACCTAAGAGATCCTGAATGCGTGTCACAGACAAACTCAACACGATTTTTGAGGTAAAAAGGAGTCGTTGGGTGAAAAAGAATACTGTACAGTAAGGAAAGTATGTGAGCATTCCGACGAAGTCGTATTGGAAGCCACTTGAGCTTAGCACGAAATTCTGACACATGATCATACTTGCGCAAACCAAATATGAATCTTATACAAACATTTTGAAGTCGCTCAAGTTTATTAAGTTGGTCCTCTCTGAGATCAAGATAGCTGGCATCGGCATAGTCAAGAATGGGAAGAAGGAGAGATTGTGCAAGCGCAACCTTTGTGGCAATGGGCAAGAAGTTTTTCAGCCGTCTTAAGGATCCTACAGATGCAAATAACCGTCGACTGGTTTCCTGAATCTGCGTCTCCCAGGACATTCTGCTATCAATGTAAACTCCTAAGTTCTTGACCTTATTGCTAAACGGTACCTGGATGCCATCAAAAATAACCTGCGGGAGGTCAAACCAGTCAATTTTAGAAACCATCCGTGAACTACCAATAACAATCAACTGGGTTTTTAGCGGATTGACTCTAAGCCCGTAGCATCTGCTCCACTCGGCTATTTGGGAAAGGTCTTTATTAATAATTCCAATAGCCTCTGGTAATTTTCCCAATGGAGCCTGCGAGTAAATTTGAAGATCATCTGCATAAAGGTGGTAGGAGGAAAGCAAATTGTTTGAGATAGAGTTAATAAATATAGCAAAGAGCAATGGAGATAAAACGCCACCCTGCGGCACACCAGCAGTCGTTTCACACCATGAAGAGTATTTATCTTCAATGCGAATACGTTGCCGGCGTCCGTACAGGTAACTACGAAACCAATCAATGGCCGTTGGAGATATGTTAAGGGAGCTAAGTATACCGAGCAAGATATCGAAGTCAACGGTATTAAATGCGTTACTGAAGTCTAGCAGTGCCAATACCGTTAACTTGCCACTTTCCATACCTAGTCTGATATCGTCAGTAATGTTGACTAGCGCTGTGACAGTACTGTGACCAGGACGGAAACCGGATTGAAAGGGATTAAGAAGTCTATTCTTGGATAGGAATGAGCTTAGCTGGTTATGAATAAGACGTTCTAAGACTTTGGATAGGAATGGTAATATGGAAATAGGACGATACTCGGAAAAGGATGTGGGATTGGATTTTTTTGGTAATGGGGTAATTTGGGCCTCTTTCCAGGAATTCGGAAAAGCACCAGTGGATATAGAATAATTAAGGATGTGACATATTACAGGAAGGATTTCGTCAAGGATAGGGAGGATCATTTTACGGCTGACACAGTCACTTCCAACGGCATCAGAGGTGATGGATAAGATGCTCTTCTTAACATCACAAGCGGCCAATTGATGGAAGAAAAAAGGTGAAAAATCAGGGGTTGGAAGACTGGAGAGATGACTTAAAGTTTTTAATTTTGTTGTCCTGTCGAAATTAGACGAAGATGAAAAATGACGATTTAGCAAATTTATGTTTATATTTTGAGACATTTTATCGGTACGTGACTTTCCAATCCCCATTGATCGAAGAAATCTCCAGACCTTAGCTGGATCCTCATTTTCAACAGATGTGTGGAAGTGTTGGCGTTGTGCGTTTCTACACACCTTATTGCAGAGATTTCGTGCATTTAAAAATTTTTCCCAATTGGAAGGCGTAGTACGAGCCCTGTATCTCGATTTAGCAGAAACCTTCTGGGCCATTAACTGCTTTATTTCGCTTGTGAGCCAAGGCGATGGCAGGTGTCTCACCCTAATCGCGCGAACAGGTGCGTGGACGTCATAAATTGCTACTAGCTTTGACGTAAAAAGGTCTACTTTTTCGTCTACTGACTCAGCATCAAGAACAGATGCCCAGTCCGTATTAGCGGCGCACTCGCGGAGATTTTCAAGATTTATGCCACCAAAATTGCGCTGCAGAAGAATTCTTGCCTTTGCTTTGGGAGGACGAATTTTATAAGAAAGATAGATGAGATCGTGATAAGAGAAAGCATCAGCCGAACATTGACCATGTTTGGCGACGTGATCAGAAGATGATACGAAAATTAAGTCAAGAAGTGAAGGAGTACAGTTAGGGAAATGATGAGTTGCATTTAGAGGAAGTATTGATAAGTTGGTAGAATGTATGACAGAATTAAGAGATGCAGATCGAGAATCATTTTTAAGAAGACAGGTGTTAAAATCACCCATGATAATGACGTGACTGTAAGAAGTTACTACATTTTCCAAGAGTTGTTCTAAAGAGGTAAAGAAGTTTATGCGTAGTGAGGGACAGTAATAGACTCCAAGTAGAACTTTGGTGTGGCTCATATTTAGTTCCAGAAAGAGATGCTCGCCAGCGTTTGGGGGAGGTGGCTGCGTTGACATATCAACAATTGAAAAAGAAATATATGAGCGGAGATATATGGCAACGCCGCCACCGCCCCCAACAGTGCGATCATTTCTCACTAACTGAAAACCTGGCAACATATAAGCCGGTGTCGGGAGACAGGGCTTAAGCCACGACTCAGAGACAAGAATTGCATGAACATTCTTACAGTCAAAACTTGCCAGCATATCGGGGAAATGAGCCGGAATGCTCTGTGCGTTTATGTGCACCACATTAAAATTCCTAGGAACATCAGAAAATTGCGCAACTAATGTATCTGAAAGTGAAGGTAGACTTGCGAAACTGTCATCGCTACTATTGGCTGAAAAGAAAGCATCCGATTCGCTACTATCGTTATGAGAAGACATAAAATATTAAATAAATAGTAGAAAATAAAAATAAAATATAAATTAAATAACAATAGCAATAATAATAAAAATACACTTAGCTAACGGTTAAACGGTCCACCTGCCGGCTGTGCTAGGTAAATGTACAATTTATGAATATTTGAAGAATAAAACATAATAATCAGCAAAAGAAAAAGAGAAGAAAAAAAAGAATTCTAACATAAAAATAATTTTGGTAAAAAATATTTTTTAACGTAAAAACTCTAATAGTTATGCTGGTCTCGAGTTTCGGACAATAATAATAATTTCCAAAAGGCACCATCAAAAACACTATCGAGAATATCAGTTCTGAAATTATAAAATTTTGACAGTCAACATGAGTGTCAGTAAATAGGACGAGAATACCTGTCGTGCAATTAAGTGACAGTTGCACTTAGCTGTCTCTAACTCGTTTGACATCTATCTTATTTTATTATTGCACCCACTTGTACGCAATATTATCATTTAATTTTACCATATAAAACAAAATAAAAAAAAAAAAAACAACCAATGAGAAAGAAACTTAACACAGTTTAGAAAGTGGGTGTGTTAATGTAAAAATATAAAATAAAAGTAATACTACCCGGACCCAGCACAACAAAGATAGGAAATTACTTTTTGATGGCAGCAGCACGCTTGGACCTACCAGCAATGATGGGCTTCTGTGGAGTGTCGACGATTTCAGGCTCTATTGGGAACTTCATAGCATCTTGCGGTTTTAAAGTGCCTATGTCTGCGAAGGTTGTAATGCGACGCCGCGACCCATCGGGTGCAATTACATAAACGCAGCCGTCTCTTGTCCAGCACTTACTCACACCAAATTTCTTCCGCGCAGCCATGAATAAGTCATGCCTCGACTTGGTCAGGAACTCCGAAATGGTGATACCGGCACCTTTTAATTGGGTTTTCTTAAACCAAATATTGTCACGGACAGCTACATCCCGGAGTTTAACTAAGATTGGCCGTGATCTTGAAGCAGAAGCAGTCTTTCCCATCCGATGGCTCCTCTTAATGTCTGCTAATGTGAAGCCACTCACCTTCAAGCGGTCCCTGACAACATCCACAACAAGTTGCGCTGCATCCTCCTCCTTATCCTCCGGGACACCATGCAGCAACAAGATGCCTCTCCGCCCACGCATCTCCATGGAGTCAATATTCCTGGCAAACAGTTCTACCTGTTGCTGCAGAGTGGTGACGGCCTGAGTTATGAAAACCCTGAAGCTGAAGAACTCGGCAGCCAGGTTTGATGTGTTGGATGGCTCTGCTGGTTCTCTTTGCAACTGTGCCTCAAACTGTGCCATTCTCTTATTGAAGAGATCCATAAGACCAGCGACAGTGTTGTTGATAGGATCCATTAGTGTTGTCAGGATGACAGTAGACAGTAAAAAGTTTTTTTTTTTTTTTGTGAATTGTGACAAAACACAAAGAAGAAGAAAGGAGAAAACACTTGCCGGCAGGTGGCTCTATCTAAGCTTTACTTCTATACATTAATTAGTAATGTAAGTTTGATAAATAAATTTTATTTATAATTTAAACTGGAGCAAATTTATTTTGTTGTTGATTAGGCAACTACCCGCGAATTTCTCCTACTTATTTATATTCCTCCTAGAATTTCTCCTTACTTGTTGATGTTAGGTACAAATCGTTTAAGAATTAAGACATCGAATCTTCTGTATTCAAGAAACCCACCGAACATGGAGATCGCATCAAACCAAACTAAGCACGCAAAAACCGCAAACACGTTAAGAAAATAATTTACAATTTGTGATATCTAAGAAAACATGCTGAAAATTAACATAAAATATGCATGTGATAACAGCAACACTGTAGGGAGCCAAGTCGTCGAGCCTACGATGTGGGTCACTGACGATGCAGCATTCGATGCGGCGAAACGTAAAGGGCGAGATGAGAGGGCTGAGGGTGACTGGAATTATCATTCACACACTATTGGTAATATTGGAATTGCTCCGAAAAGTAATATTGGAAAATATTGAGCAAAAGCCGCTTATCGTTGAAGGTGGAAAGGGTTTAAAATAAGAGGGTAGAGAAATATCTTCAGCTTTGATACTTATGGTTCTTATATCTGAAGGATTGGTTGATATGGCATCAAACTTGAGGTTTCAAATATGAAAAACAAAGTTTCTACTGATTTTATTTTTTCAGCTGCAACTGGGCTACATGCAACTATATTTGACATTCATTACGAAAATATACAAATTAAAACAACTGCTATTCAATCTATTTACAAGATTAAGTCAGCGAAGCGAATAGCATTCAGTGGAACTCATTGAATGAGATAGAAGCGGTTGATAGCTGAACCGAAGCTATTGCAACTGACTTTAATGTGCTTGCCAAATCGTGCGCTCAGACGCTAAATGTTTAACTATACGAAGAACGTATAGCCAACCAAACTGACTATAGAACCAAAACAAAACTATAATAAAATGAAAAGATAGATTTTCGAAGTGTGGTGTGTTCGAGCGAGGGGTGGATTAAGAGGGACAATGTACATGGGGTATGTGAAAGTCCTTACTTGTTTGGTTAAAATATCGATTGTGCTCCTTAGGGACCCTCGCATGTCCAAAAGAGATTAACCACGAAAGAAAAAGACCCCAATACTAATTATTTTCAGATCAATAAAGTATTTGAATTCACCCGAAATCGCCATCTACCAACTGAAAATACTCGTCTCAATATCACGGAATGCTAATAAATTCCATATAATCATTTGGCCATCTGCTATACTGATAAACACAAACAAGGAAATATTACACTCCTTAGTCAAAATATTCAGGGCATTTCATCCAAATTACTAGAATTGGAATTATTTTTAGAAAAATTTAAATTTGACATAATTTGTATAACAGAGCATTGGATGAAGAAGTATCAAGTAGAATTTATGAGTTTTAAAAACTATTGTGTTGGTAGTTTCTTTAGCCGTCAAGCAATGATTCATGGTGGTAGTTTAATTTTATTAAAAAACTCAATTAAGTATAAAGAAAGACAAGATATAACTTCACTTTCCATTGAACATACAATAGAATTGTCCTGTGTAGAGCTGGATGGGCATGTTGTGATATGCGTCTATAGACCTCCAAACTTACAAAACTTAAACGTTTTTAACTCTGTTATGGAACAAGTGTTGCAGAAAACGTGTTCGAACAGTAAATTTACAATAGTATGTGGCGATTTTAATATTGATCTCTTGGAAAACAATTCTAATTGTATTAATTTAGTAAGTCTTTTTAAATCTTTTGATTTGTCTAATGTATTCCTTGAGCCCACCCGAGTAACATCCACCTCGGCTACATGTATAGATAATATATTTTGTAACTGTGATTATTTGCACAAAAATATTGTTAATAGCTTACCATCAGATCACAGTGGGTTAACAATAAACTTAAACAACATCACAACGGTGCCAAAAAAGGAAATAATGTTTAGACATATCACGGATAAAAAAGTTGAGTCATTACATAATAATTTAAAGCAAATATTATGCAGCCCATCACAGGATTATGAAGGTCCAAGTGAGATTTATGCCAACTTACTGGCCATTATTAAAACCCAATTTGATAAATTATTCCCCTTAAAACGTAAAATCATTGAATGTAAATTTGTATTCTGTGACTGGGCTACCCCCGGTATTCGTAGAAGTAGGGGAAAGTTATTTGAACTATATGGTATGAAACCATTTAATACAAGCGAAACCTTTAGCAAGCATGTGTCCAAATATGCAAAAATATTTAAAATGGTCTGTAAGCAAGCAAAATCTCTTTACATTAGCCGTAAGATTAAGAACGCTGAAAATAAAACAAAGGCTACATGGAAAATAATTAACAATGAGACAGGCAGGCATAAATTGCATAACACGGAAATTAATTTAAATACCGGAAATGGACATGTTAGTGTAAATCGGGAAGTTGCACAAGAATTTGAATTTTTTTTCAAGAATATCCCCATTGAAACTACAAAGGACTTAGAATCATCTCCGGCACTTTCAATTAGTCTTCTCAAAAGAAATATTAAAGAATGCCGTTCTGATTTCCAATTTCAGTACACAAACCCCCAATCAGTAATAAAGGCGTTTAAAGACATTAAAGTTAAGTCTACAGAGGATCTCTGGGGAATGTCTGTTGCAGTGTGTAGGGCTTTTATAGAAGCTATAGCGCCTCATTTAGCTTTAATTTATAATAGAAGTGTAGATCAGGGAGTTTTTCCAAATTTGATGAAACATAGCAAAGTAGTTCCACTGTTTAAATCTGGCGATGATACCGATCCTAATAATTATAGGCCGGTATCTATTTTACCGGTGCTTAGTAAGGTGTTTGAAAAGCTGATGCTTTCTCAGATGCTGCGTCACTTTAACATGAATTCCATCTTTCATGATCAACAATATGGGTTCACCAAAGGTCGATGCACAACTGACGCCGGTGTAACTTTAATTAAGCGTGTTTTTGCCTCGTGGGAGGAGTCGCACGACGCTGTTGGAATTTTTTGTGACCTGTCCAAGGCTTTTGATTGCGTCGAACACGAGACACTGTTGCTAAAGTTGGAACACTATGGTATTCGAGGGGCTTCACTCAATTTATTAAAATCATACCTCCAGGATAGGCAGCTTAAAGTACAGGTAAACAAAGTTAATTCTCAGGGTGCTAGCATATCTATGGGCGTACCACAGGGCTCGATATTAGGTCCTTTCCTATTTTTGGTTTACATAAATGACTTACCTCATTTATTTCAGCGAGAACCGGGAATGGTATTATTTGCTGATGACACATCGTTGATTTTTAAAATAAATAGACGGGCAAATAATTATGACGAAGTAAATAATGCTATTACGAAGGTTCATAACTGGTTTACAGTTAATAATTTAGTTCTAAACGACAAAAAGACAAAGTGTATACGATTCAGTTTACCAAATGTAAAAAGTAACGAATGTGACATATTATTAAACGGCAAGAAATTGGAATTTGTAAAACAGACTACTTTTCTGGGTATAACCATAGATGAAAAACTACAATGGGGGCCCCATATCACATCTCTGGCAGGACGGTTGAGTTCTGCAGCATTTGCTGTCTGGAAGATCCGACAGCTAACAGATGTGGACACTGCAAGACTGGTGTACTTCAGCTACTTTCATAGCATTATGTCGTATGGCATCTTGTTGTGGGGACAGGCTGCTGACATTGAGTCTATATTTGTCTTGCAAAAGCGTGCAATCAGAGCAATTTACAACCTAAGGCTTCGCGAATCTCTTAGAGATAAATTTAAAGAGATCAATATTATGACTGTGCCCGGTCAGTTTATTTATGAAAATATAATGTATGTTAGGAAACACTTAATATTATTTGATAAGGTATCAGACAGACATAATTACCAAACTAGACATAGAGATAGATTGTGTCAGCCATTATTTAGATTGGCAAAGGTACACAAGTCGTTCATGGGATTCAGCGTTAAGTGTTATAACAAAATCCCAGGCGAAATACAACAATTAAATGAAAGAAATTTTAAATTATGTATAAAGAAAACTTTGTGTAAAAAAGCATATTACAAACTGAGTGATTATATTGAGGATAAGGATGCTTGGAGACGGGCTGGTCCTGCTCCACAGGATAATATACCTACACGAATATAAATAATGTTCCAGTGGATCTTTGCTTGAACGGAAGTTCTTAGATTTTGTAAATTTGTAACCATGCTATTTTTATTGTTAAACTTGATAAATTTGTAAATGTGAGTGCCCTGTAACCTATTAAAATTAGTTAGACTAGCAGAATGTCGGTCCATATGTCAGCTTGGAGTTGTCATGCTCACTCAAAGGTCACATTGGCGGTGGCACGGTCACTGGATCGCTCGATTCCCTATATTATGGTTGAGTTGGGCGATGCTGGTGTGCGTGTCATGCTCGTGAACGGGCGCCGTCAATTGGGACTGGTCAGCTCCGGACTGTCTATTGTCCTTAAGGTTATTTTCTTTTTATGTTTCTCTGTATACACGCGTTACACTGTTCTCACATATTCAAACTAACTAAATAATGTATCAAAGAATGTTTATGTGACACTGATTTTAAAAGAGTAACCATGGAGTTTCTTGCTCGTTCTTCTCCATCGGAATCTACACTTTGGAACGAGCGAATAGCTTCACTAAAAGGACTGACCGACAGACTGACACTTTGTATCTTTAAAGTTGTGTTGACGTTCAAAAGTGCCTGTATGGGTCTAATTGAAATAAATAATTTTGACTTTTGACTTTTTTTTGACTGAACACGGATCCTAAGTTCACTGAAACGAGTTTTTAAAGGGATAGTGGGCGATAAGTTAAACTTTCACTAAGTCTTATAAGGCTTTGCATTACAGCCAATATTTCCGTCTTTCGTATACCTAACAATTTATTGATTTAGAATTTCTATTTGAACTTTGTTCATTTATCAATATCGTATCAGAAAAATTGTACAATGACACTACAATATCTATTTTGAGTGCTTCGCCCTCGAAATTAGTGTTTCTAACGATACAAAAGCCAGACGTAATTGAAGTTTATTAGTCTAGAAGACCGACAATTCCCAAAATGAAAATCCCATTATCGTTTGCTAAATATATCTACTTCGTAAACACTTACTTAAATTAATCGTTCGGGAGCAATGACACGTTTCACCTGGAGATTACTTATTTATACAAAACAGGTACCTACAAACTTGCTAATTAATTGAGTGAGGTAGAAAAATGACCGTGAACTAGTGCTATAATGTCATAAGGCGATTAGTGGTGTAGTATGAAACAGAAGTAATTAGAATAATACCAACGTGTATTAATTGGATAACATTAACCCAAATTGTAAAAATATTCCACTGAAAATGTAGTTACAGCCGATGGATAGTGATCGGACTATTTACTGAACCTTTTAAGTCCAGTTCAATAAAATCTAATTGCAATACACACTTACAA